GTTTTTTCGTTATGCCAACATCCACCTACGGTTTTCCACCTAGAACACAGTCACTCGGGTTCTGACTCAGATCATTCACACGTTTTGATGTCCGCACATATTCGCATTCTAATCGTTTTAAATCTAAATTAAGTTATGAGCTTTGCTCTCTAGTTTAAATCCTAGTTTTAGTCGTTGCATATTTTAATTGTATCTTTTCAGTTTTGTTTTATTGTTAAAATATACTTAAGTTATTTAAATTTTACCTCTAGTTAAATCCTGAATCCAGTGTTAAAGTCCTAATCGTTAATCTAGAATCCGTGAACCTTGTTAACCATTAGGCATAAAGCTCCATGTCGCGTTTAATCACAGACAAAATACAGATAGACCTATCACCTAATGTATTTTTTTATCCCACGTTAGGAGGGTTTTAAATGCCCTCTTACCTCTCGCTTCCAATGTTACCGATTCAATATACATATGTAGAATAAGACTACAATATTAGTAGTGATTGGAATTAGAACTAAACGTAACTATGGAATTAAAAATAAAATATAGGACAGGATATCATACAATCGTACACGAAGTATAGAATTCTATACTTTTATATGTATAATACCTAAATTACGTTGATCGGAAAGTTTTATCGTTTTATTTTCAAAGAAAGTAAACTAAGGTTTTTTCGATGAAAGTTTTATCAATCAATCTGTGATATAATATATATTTCAACATATAGTTATCTCTTAAGTACCCAATAATTTATTTATCACCTTTATGTAAAATTTCTCATTCTTGCGAATAAAATATTATAGTACGTATTATGTTCGTAAGTTGATTTTCAACGTTAAAGTTGTTTCCTATTAACGAATTGTCCAAGAATTTTATTAGATGGTAGTCAGATAATGCTAACTCAAAATTATATAAGAGGGTTACATATTCTTTATCCTATTTTATTTAACTTGTACTGAGTCCTTAAAGATGCATAAAAACTAGTGTTGTCTCGGAAGAATATTCTTCCTTTCTACTCGGGAAACTGTATTTGTACAATTACTCTAGTGGGCCAGGTCAATCAATATCTTCCACTATTGTTGATTGTGTTTTACCAAGTTGGTCCAAATAATATCATTATTGTGGAAATGATAGATTGTAATTATAAATATTTAAACAAGTGTTTAGACTGGAAAAATAGACGTGCGAATAAAGAGTGTTTGAATGTTTAGCTTACAATTAGAGTGTCGAATCCTAGTTCCTTTTAGTCCCTAATTCCCAGGCATCCAGGTCTTCACTCCGACGCATCCCTTAGGCCCAATGTCCACGATGCGTCACGTGAGAGACGCGTCGCGTAGCGTACGAAGCGGTACGTTTCGGTTCTGTCAACGATGCGTCACGTCAGAGACGCGTACGCAACGAAATGTCGCTTGCTGTACGTTTCAGTGCTGCGTAGCGTATTAGATGTAGGCGGCTTCTAATCACGAAGAATACAGCAAGGTTTGCGTCAGTAACAAAGATGCGCCTCACGTTCTGTGTATAAACGACCGCGGTAACGTACGCTAGACGTCATGACGAATGCATGTTGCGACGATAGCGTAACGATGACACTTCATGGATAGATATCCACTGCTTCACATTGGTCGCAGCACTGAAGCGTACAGCAAGCGCTGTTTCGTCACCTACTGATTACAAACGATAAAGAACTACAGAAATAGAGAAAGAGAGAACGAGAGGATGAAAGAATAAAACAGAGTGAATGAGACGCGCGCGATGTAGTCAGAGAGAGGAGTCACAGAGCGAGAGTTATACATAAAGAAATTACTGAGAGCTGAGAGTAGTGTTAGAGTAATGGAAATAGAGTAGAGACGTTGTTATTATTATTGAGTCTTGAGTCTTAAATATATTCGTTATTGTTATAAACATTATTGAATACCAACCCAACATTTCGACATTCTGAACAATATTTGGTCTGCCGGTACATGTTTCATTGCCAAGACTAATATCTTTAATCGAAATTTTTTGATCAACTTTTACACCTTGCATACAGATGCAGTATTTGTCGCAAAACCTGACATAAATTTTCAGCTGCCTCTGTCTCAAAAATGTTGTGCTTTGGAGTTTCCTCCGTAGACGACATTTCAATAAATTTTATGTTCTAAAATTCTAACGTTCGTTACGAACGACTGCAGTATTACTCGAGCCCTTGACTTCGCTTGATTATGAGGACCTTTCTTCAACAATGCGATGCTATCCTAATCGAGCGCTAGTTTCAGCTCGATTATAAAAGTATGTTGTCAACGTCGCAACATTATATATTTTATGATGCTTGCCGAACTCGTCTCAACATCTGCTAATAAATAGGCATAAGAAATTATAAGTTTATCTATAAAATATTGAAGTTTACCTTGAAAACTTGGAAAAAAAATAAACTGTTAAGAAATGTACTATAATCATCGTAAAAGTCATTTTGAACCATATTATACCTGCGACATAAGAAAAATCTTGATCGGTGCACCAACAACAGAATAATCTAAAGTGATCTCATTAGGCGGTTCACTCCGTATATATTATTACAGCATCTTGTTCAACAGCTGCTTACATCTGTGTTATTTCTCCACCATCTGGAAGCCAGTAAATCTGGTGACAATAAAGAAAAACGGAAAGTATGGTAGCAACCCATCTAAATAGTTACCGTCCAATTAGTCTTCTTCCAAATATTAGCAAAATTTTCGAGGCCGCTGTAAACGACGCCAGTAGTAGCCAAAACACACATTCTAGGACTATTTCAGATTTACCGCGCGGTTGTTACATTTCTATTGCTATTGAGCCAGTCTGTATAAATTTGATGTTGTTTGTAGAGATGTTCTGCTTCGTATCGTGTTCTTTTGCATGGTTGTATAACTGTGCACTGATTCACCTAAAATTTCAGCCTCCTACCAAAATTACTTCGCAGGATCATCTTTTATAGATCATTCGAACGTTAATTTCTAAATGAATCGTACGCAAAAAATTTATATATTCTAATAAATTTCAAAGAATGTAATGATGTTATTTGAGATTTTTAAAAATGTTTTATTTAGACAACTGCAAAATTATTCTCGTATGATAAAAATAACTTTTTGTGTAACAAAAGAACAGAACGGAAAGAGATATCAGAACAAAAAAAGATTGGTTTAAAACGAACAAGCGGCGTTCGAACCTGGTGATCTGACGTTGAAAGATCAAAGTGACAATTATTAATATCCAATTAGTAATTCATCGTCGAAAAGTTGAAAATTGGTACCCGGTTCGTGTAAAAGAATGGTTTACAAAATTTCGATTAAAAAATTTAGCCGTAGCAATGAAGCATGTATCAGCAGACCAACTATTGTTCATAATAATGTTAATTGGACGAAGTTGGTATAAAACAACTTGGTGAAACACAATCAACAATAAAAGAAGATATTGGCCTAGATCAATAGAGTAATTTAACAAATCAAATTTAAGCAAATAGAAAAAGAGCAGTATTCACGACGACGACGCATGTTCTAACATATCTTTAGAAATCAAAACAAGTTAAATAATATAAGATAGAAAATAATATGGTATCTCTTATATAATTTCGAGTTAGCATCGTCTGACTATCAACTAATAAAATTCTTTGACAATTCGTTAGTAGAAAGAAACTTTTATATTGAAAATCAATTTGCCAACATTTTGCTATATTTTAATCGCAAGAACGAGAAATTTTACATACAGGGGATAAAAAAATTACTGGATACTATTCCAGAAATAAGAAGACAATTATAAGTAGATATAAATACTATACCACACATTAATTCATAAAAGTGTAATTGAAAATCCTTGGTTTACTTTCTTTGAAAATGAAAGGATAGAACTTTAGTATTACAAAAGTACACAATTCTATATTGCATGCACGATTACAAGATGTCCTTTACTGTATTTTATTTATAATTTCATAGTTACGTTTAGTTCTAATTCCGACCATTATTACATAATGTTATAATCTCATTCTGCGCTGGATCAGTAATGTTGGAAGTGACACGAAAATGATAAGGGTACTCGCAAGCCTCCAAGTCGTGGGACAAAAGAATGCATTGGGTAATAGATCTATTGTGTACCTCGTCTGTGGTTAAAGTGTAACAAGATTGAAATTGTTTATCACTAAAATACAAAAATAAATAATTAAAATATGAAATAAATTTTATTTCGGAAACATTTTCAATGCTTTTTGTAAGTAACGATTAAACATCGGAGATGCAAGGCGTACATATCGATATTTTTAGCAACAAATTATAGCTGGATGTTAAACAAATAATGTCTCCTCTTAATAATACAGATTTATTTATTGACAGCCGTTTCAAAGAGAACTGTTGAACGGCTGGTGTCAGAATTATTTCTGCGCATGTAGTTTGCGCATCTTACAACTCAGTGTATATACACATGTGTAATTTGCAAAGGGTTATCTTTCTGTTTATTAGTTTATGGATTTAATAAACGAAATACTAAAGTTTCTACTAGTACTGTTTCATAATTTGTACGGAAATCAATAAACATGAAATGTAATTCTTCCATATTTTTTGTAAGAAGGAAAATAGCGCTCTTGTAAAAATTACATTTTCGTTAGTCAAATTTATTATAGGGTTA